CCAGCAGATAAAATGCTTGACTTGAATACAGTCAACCTGGGCTCCATCCTCAACACCCCACATGGTTCCCTGTGCATTGCCAGGTGTGACCCCTGTCTCAGGAGTAAATTCTTAGCATAGCCGAGTGTGGCCCAATGCCCCCCTCCCCGTGCCCCCCCCCACACACCACCCCACACCATCACCGCCAAAAATTTTTTTTAAAAAGAACCTCAAAGAAAACAAACGTTTCTAGGAAAAAAGAAGAAATATTTTTAAATGTTTTCTTTGCTGTCAAACAAAAAAAAGTCATAAGATGCTATAATGTGTTGTGCTCATAATCCAATAAAACAAGATTAGGAAATGATTTTGCAAGCAAGAAAAACATGGTTTAAATTTTTTACTTTTCAAATCTAGACTTAGAATATATATTGAAAGTATAAATGTAATTAATTGTATAATATAAAGTCAATCTATTGATATGGGAAAAAGAATATATGCAAGTTTATAAAAAGAGATCGAATATGTTTGTAAAGGTAGATTAAAGATAGAACTATTTATTTGACTGAATAGTCAACTAGTAGGTGTTTCTGAAAAAGCAGCCTGAAGAGAGAAGTTGGGAGAAAGGAAATAGTTAAAAATTGCAAGAAAAATAGGGTAAAAATTTGAGATTTTCAGAAGATCTTGGTTTTGAGTTCTGTGGAAGGTCTGTTGAGATCCACAATAATCAGAAAGTTGCATCTGGTCAGTCAAGGTCCCTGAAGAACAATCCAGAGTGGGGCATCTGCCTGGGAGGACATTTGTGGGCAGTGACACAGCCACTAAATGCAGGACACTGGCCACTAGGACACTGGTCACCAAGACACTATGTAACCACTAGATACTGACCACATAATACCGTGATCACAGAGCACTGACTGGAATTATGTGGCCAGAGAACACTGACCACTGGGCATTGTGTAACCACTGGACTTCTCAGCTCACTGTGCACTGGCCCCATCGTAAGAACATGTCACTCAGTTGGGAAGGGACCACGTGACACAAACCGTGTTCTCTTCAGTGCACAGAGCTTTTGGTACTCACCAGGGGCGTCAGTTTTGGTAGTTTTGAACTTCATCAGTGACTATCAAAATACTATTAGGAAAAGAAGAAGAGACATTTCTGCAGGGGGTCTGACGGACAAGCTAGAGAAAAAGACATAGTGATCAAACCTGCTGCCCCCAACTTTCACCCACTCTGCTGCCACTCATGGGGGCTGCCACTGAACCCCACAAGGCTCCTCTGGCCTGCCCTGGAGGGCCCAGTTGTCTGTGCATAGGGCTTCCTGCCCAGAGCTCTTCCTCTCTCCATGGCTCTGGAGCCTCAGGCACAGGAGGGGAAAATCAGAATATTTCTAGAGACCCAGGCAACCAGTGCAAGGCCAGTGCTTGAGTGTGAGGACAGTTGTACATCAGTGTTGAGTCACGAGGAATGGCTGCCAGCTCCGGCAAGTCCTGTTCACCTGGGCAATGCTTCGGAGACTGTCAAAATTCATAGAGCCTGTTATAGCTTGGGGCGGTGCCTTTGTGTGGGGGTTCCCTCTGGGCTCGGCTGGGAAGATCCCTTCTAGAAGACATTAAGTTCTGAGAGGATTAGCCCTGCAAGACTAAAACTAAATGGCAGGAAAGGGAGCTTGGTCTGACTCCAGGAGAGTAGCTTCTGCCCCTCCAAGCATCTCCTGGACTGAATCAGTTCTCATACATGGGACCTTCCTTGGTCCTCCTTGTCGGGGTTCTTGGCTCCCACATTCTCTCCTTCCTCAAACACTTTCTCGGCAGTGTAAAAAGTCTCCCAACAAGGCCAGGGTGGTAGTTCAAGGGGTTGGAGCCCATGCTTTGTGGGCTGGAAGGCCTGGTTTGATCCCCAGCATCCTGTAGGTTTTGAGCTGCTGCAACAGCCCGCACCCCAACCTGAGAGTCACCCCTGGGCAACCTGCAATCCAACCCCCCCCAAAAAAAGACCCCCTCTCCCCCACTAAAAAAAAAGTCTCTCTCCCAAGAAACATAACCCCACGTCCTCTTAAATTGTGGTTCCCTCTCTGTACACCATCACCCCTCCCCGTGCTTTCCAAGGAGTTTGGGTTTAGCCATTATCAGGTGTCAGATTCTCCTGATGAAAGTACTTTTGGAGCTGATGTCCTGATTAAAAAAAAAAAAAAATCCAGGCCCACCCCATCTCTCCTGCTGTCCTCCTGCAGCTTTCTCTGGAAGCGGCACTGGAATTCCTGATGCTGGCGCCAGTGCCAGACGTCTGGGGCCCGGGACAGCAAGACAGAACTTAACTCTTTGCTGCACAGAGCAACCTGGGGCTAAGAGCCAGGACATTCCAAGTCCCACACTGCAAAGCTGTGTGCAGCTTTAACTAGAGAAGTTTTTGTAGGGGGGGGGCCATTGGCGGACAGTCTCAGAAGGGCACCTGAGACCACTCGGACCAATTTCCTGGCAGCAGACTGGATGTGGCATTTCCCTGAAAACCCTGGATCAGCAACAAAAGGAGTCCCTGGCACCACGGAGAAGGTTGGCACGAGTCTTCACGGGATGACACGCAGGGCCTCCCCGTGAACAGGCAGAAATCCAGGCTAGTGAGCGGCAGCACTGACTTCCAAATTTGACCCGCGCTGGATGCAGTCACTGGATCGGAATGGGAAGCACTGAGTGCAGGCATGTTTGAACAAAACGCATCGTTCTTTGGGCCTGCCTTTGTCTCCTAATTTAGTTTCCAGCTCCTGCAGCAGTCTCCTACTCCTTCAATGGTCCCGTTATTTGTCATTCCTCCACTGGCATTTTTATGAACTGAAAATTGAGAGAAGCAACCTAAGATGGAGATCTGATCCTGAATCTCAGTGTGGGTCTGGAAATGTACTTCCATTGGTTTCCAGGACATTCAGCTGCGGGTCCAAATGCCAGGATCTGACAATCTAGTTTCGCACGGAAATCCCTGAGTCCCGTTCCTGGGTCTGGCCTCTGAGTTTGCATTCCATTGGATCATTCTCTCCCTACGTGCCGTCTTATAACAGGTTTATGCTGATTTTCAGGGTAGAATTCTAGTGGGGAGAGACCTTTTGGGCCCAACACCCAAATTCCAATATTCCTGGGGCACCAGGACAGATAAGTATTGAGGGGCCTCTCGGTTACAAGCTCAGGAAAGGACAGTCTAGATGAGTGGAAACCAGGACACCAACTGAACCAGTCCATTCACCTCCACCACCACATCCCCACTCACCACCCCCATCCCAAAACCTGAAACTGCACAGGCAGGGAACTCCTGCTGACCCAGGCCTGGGCCAGGGCACGGGGGACCCGACAGGTCCTGCTTTTGTCAACTGAGAGAAGTGGTGAGGACTGAGGAGGTGAAGGATCAGGGGAGCCAGTGCAGACAGACTGATCCCTCTATGGGTTCTGCCAGGCATCCAGTGTATACTCTTCAGAGGCACCCAGCTCACACAGACCCCAAGGATGTGGCTATCCTATGGACATTGCTCCCAGAGGGACTGGTGGCAAGTCTCCAGGGAGGATGGTGGGAACTCTTCTGGAAGTATTTGTGACAGGGCAGTGTGTGGGGGGAGCTGGGCTGAGATGTGGGAAACTCTCAAGACACAATCTCCTAAAGGGACAGGGAGAAGAAAGGGGTCATAACTGAGGTCATGTTGGTTTAGGAAACTTTCATTTGGCTGGTGGTCCAGAGAAGAGCCTTGACCTGGAGGTAGGGTTTGGGTTCAGTGTTGAGCACCTATTTTGTAGAATTTAGGGACCCTGACTTCTTTCCTGTTCTCCTCTTACTGTGTCTTGGGGGATGGGAGTATCCATGTTCCCTGGCATTTTAATGAGCAAAGGAAGAAAGAAGACTCAGGCAGTGGTGTCGCTGGTTGTGGCCCTATCCTCCCTAAATCTGGGAACAGCCACAGAAACTATGGTTTACTTTACTCTCGCATGCTCCTGGGAAGAGCAGTACCCCATGTTATGCCACATCTCAGATAGGCCAGGCCAGTTACCAGACACAAACACCAGCCACCGCACATCAAAGGTCTTTAAGGCAACTAAAAAGCACAGTGAACAAATCTGTTGTGCCAGTTTAGGTTCTCCCGGGAACCAAACAATCCTCATCAGAAAGCGTATTAGAAAAGCCTGTCTGCATCCCTAAAGCAGCCTCACCTGAGGAACACAAACATTCCATCAACTTTCCTAATAACTGTGGCATCTACTTTACCACTGGGTGCCACAGGGGAATAGAAATTCTTAACAGCATCCCTGTGTGAAGGTCGGGGGCTACCCAGCACTGACTAGGCAGATGAAATGCAAAAGTGTGAATGTATGATATCAGCAAATACCACATCTTATAGAAAAACATTATACAGGCAAGATCGGGCACGCTCACGATGGCAGGGCCGCAGATGGTAACACATTATCCAGATAGGAATTTTGTTGTTTCATTCACTTATGGAGCCCCGCCCCGGGAGGAACCCCTGTGGTCCTAACATGGGTTCCAATGAAGGCGCTCAGAGGAAGAAGCTCATCCTCAGTTTGCACAGAGGAAGGAAGAGAGGGAAAGTCACAGTCTGTAAAGGCAGATTTCACACTCACCCCTCGGCCTGGTGCACAAGTCATGGTGCCTCAGGACAACCCATGGCCCAACATTCAACATTTGACATTTACGAGACTAAGAAAAAAAATATTGTTAAGCCCATATGAACATTCCAAGCAGCACCAAAAGGCAGGTAGTGAAGATGCATGTCCTTCCCACTCAGAGCCCCTGCTAGATGCCACCAAGGTCACATGGTCAGCCTGGATGGCTCGGAGGTGACCATGAACCCCCCTTCCTCTGCCTTGTTGGAGATCAGCCACGACCCTTCCATCTGTGTGCACACCGGCTGTCTCAGAGCCTCCATGCTGGTGGGCTGACTTTGACAAAATGACTGTTTTCCTCTGCAGGGCTTTCGAGGCATTCCTGACACCTGTGACTAATGCCATTTTGTCTTTCACCCCCAGCTTGTCAGGATGCCCAAGAGCCACCTCTGCAATGAAGAAGGCAAAGCTATCAGGAGAGCAGATGCTGACCATCAGGCAGCGAGCCAGCAATGGTAACCCCCTCACCCCTCCCTCCAAGGACAAGCAACAACCTCGCCCCCCACACACACCCTTTGGAACAGTGTCACAGTGCCCTCTGCTTACCCAGGACAGCTCCTGACTGCTTCTCCTAGCGAGCAGACACTTCACCATTTTCTACCCGCCTGTGAAGCCACCAACTGGGCTGGCAGTTTTCCCATGGCATCTCATGTTAGGATACAAATGCAAGTCACAGGGACACAGAGAGTGCTAAGCAGTTTTCTCCCCAGCATCCCAAAGCCGCAGTTTCCTGCCTCTACCCCACAGAGCCTCTCATGGAAAAGCAGAACCTAGAATGCCCCTGTCCCGACAGGCCGGCAGACCGCAGAATCCCACTCATTCACTCTTCGGGTGGAGTTCTTGGGGGTCCAGTTTCCTCAAGCCAGTCTGCAGAAAACGTTTCCTTCTAAGAGTCGGGGCTGCCAGCGCCCATGTGCAAGGCTTGAGAGGAGAATCCAGACCCCAGGAGGAGTGGGCAGAAGTCAGGATGTGCACACACCCTGCTCCCCCTAGAAACAGCTCAGAGACCCTCCTTCTGCCTTCAGATTTCAGCTCACCCTGTTGACAACAGTCCTTCTCACGGTCTGGGTTTTATTCTCGCCGCCTCCCTCCCCCCCACAGATACATAAACACACACACACACACACACACACAGAGTGTTGGCTTTTGTTGTTGTTGGCGATTTGGTATTGTCAATGAGTCCCAGCCTCCCTTTGCAGCTCTATCTGGTGCTCTTAAGGCCAAGCAGCTGGGATGTGCCTGAGGGAGTAAAAACTGTAGAAAATGCTGGTTGGATGAGCTTCCTGCAGCCTGGTGCAGAAAGCTATTGGCCCTGAGAGCAAATGAATCAACAATGTGGATTCAGCAAGTTTTCCTTAAACAGACACACATAAAAACTCATCAAAGGAGCTATGTATTCCTGAGTCGGCGAGTTGGCAGGACTTTCCTTATAATATTTCCTCCAGGTAAATGGCACTAGAGATTCTATCGCTCAGAACTCTCTCAACTAGTAGAGAAGAGGTGTGGCCGCAGCCTCAGTCCCTTGAGAAGATTGTGTGACTCTACCATGAAACAGTGGAGCAGCTGTTCCGGGCAGGCATCCCTAGTATTGAGTTCCTCAAATGAACCAAGCCCCACACACTCATATATAGAGGGCCTTGGGACTCATCACAGATGCTCCATCCCACACATCTGGCTGCAAGGAGAATCCTGCCTATGAAGTGACTCTCGACGTTGGCTTCCCCCCTTTCCCCTCCATCCTCTGGCACCAGTAACCCAGAGAGTCCCCAGATTGGAGGTGTAGGATTTCTGGGCCATCTGCCTTTATAGATCCTGTGACCATTTATTAGGAGTCCTGAATGTATACCAGGAGCTCAGCAGGCTTCTCAGCATGTGGTCCATTGGTTACCTGGAAATAGCTATGGTCACAACATGTATGTCACCAAGATTTGGCTTCCTGCATGCCCAACATTCTGCACTGCCTCTACTGCTCAACACAGTTAGGCAACAGGGAAGTGGAGATTATCACCTTCAGGAATCTCTCAGTCCTGCCTGCATACCCTCCCTTATGTCCAGGCTTGTGGGAAAAGAACCACTTTGAGACTCCAGGATGACCTCTGTCCACTGCTTCGTTGCAGTCACAGAAGCAAGTGGTCATTGTTTAAAAAAAAAAAAGCAGACAATAGTTCCAGAACTTTTCTCCAAACTCTTAGCTTGACATTTCATCCCTCCTCCAAACAACTCTGACATTAAAGTAAAAATCCCTAGACAAATTAATCTGAATTTTGATAAGTTTATCACTCACTAATGAAGAAAACAGCAGTTCACTGAAAGGTCAGTGTGAAAGAGAAATAAAGAAGACTGAGGAGGTGGCTCAGTTGTAGAGCACTGCCTTGCATGGATGAGACGCTACAAGGAAGGGGGGGGATGAGAGAGAGGAAAGAGAGAAAGAGAAGGGGGAAAGAGAGAAGTAAGTTGAAAAGAGTAAGCAAGAGAATCCAAACTTGAGAGCTCAGATCTCATATCTTGATGGAGCAATCATTCATTCTGGGCTGGTGAGTAAATAGTCAGGCTGGCCTCTCCCAGAAGCTCTCTCTTTATCAGGGACCCTGAAATTCAGAACCCAGTCATGTAACTGCTGGCACAGCTGTTCCCAGAAAGGACTCTGCTGTTTGGAGAGTTAAAAACAAGTCACCAGCCTGAGTATTCATGGGAGGAGCAATGCCAAGCACTCCCCTGGCTGAGAACCTGGCACTAAGCACTGCCTGGCCATTTGCCTATTTCTCTATACTGGAGCCCGCTTTGCAGGGCTCCAGGCAGGGACAGGAACCCAGGATGAGAATGTTTATTCCTGCTCTAGATTCCAGTATATACCTCTCCGCAGATGTGCTCTCAGGGAAGCGCCAGATTTCCCAGAGAATGTGCAGCAGGAAAGCAAAACCAGGACTTTCCAAACCTCACCTGCCTGGAGCGCTTCCCTCCTACCTGCCAGGTACTCACCAGAGAGGTGACTGTGGCCCCTCTCTTTGTCTGTGTGGACAACTCAAGGCAAAACTCAGGACATGCCTGCTGCTTTTCAGGAGACAAGCATGACCATGAAATTGTCCACTGCAAGTGTTCCCATCCTTGAATCCACAAAATTGGAGTTCAATACTGGCCCCGGCCTGACAGAATAGATTATTTCTGTCTCTCTTCTTCCTTAGACATCCTGAGAGAACCCTTCTCTGAGGTCACTTTTCTGGCATCATCTATAATGAATGATACATGGATGCTTCCCTCTGTACCCTGGTTTGGAGGGGTTGGGGCACAGCGACCTCAAAGAGTCTATGCTTAGCTTGCCAAAGGGAGGAGGCAGTAAAGAGTTTGTCCGGATTTCAGTCTTTTCTCTCAAGCAGTAACCGACTGGGAAGGGAGCCATTCTAAATGTCCAAAGCTCTTTCCAGCTCCAGCATGCTTTCTTCCTCTCTTAAATCTCAGGCGAGAGTTGGCTCTCTCTCACTTCCTCCCTAAAAGACTCTCAGTAATTTCTTTGTCCCACTGAATGATCTTATGAAATTCATCTTCTGCAAAGCTTTCTGAGGCGGGGCATCTGATGCTATGAGGGTTCTCCCTCCAGAGAATTCACTCGTGCCTTTTCCTCGAGGGGCACTGTGTATGGTCCTTTTTTTTTCTTTGCCAAGCCTTTAGAAAAGAAGAAAATGAATACACACACTTTCTTTTCTCTATTTTTTTTTGTCAACAACAACAAAAAAAAAGGACATTGAAGTCTGAGAAAATGAGCTTAATTGTACTAGGGACTCCTGTGTATTTATCTTTGATCTCATTTGATATCCCAACAGTCAGAAGGAATAGAAATTGTTTTTTCCCTGAACCTAGAGCAGAAAGGCAAACTCAGGTTACAGGGAGAGAGGCAGAGCCATAGGATAAAGGGCAGGGGAACAACCAGGGCCAGAGGATGGTAGGGGATGAAGGAGAGTACCTTCAGGAACAAATAGTGGCCTGTGACCCTGATTTCCTCTGGATAGAAACCCATGTCATCTTCATCCATCTTTCCGTCCTAAAACAAACCTTAGAGAGCCAGTGAGGCCAGCTCAGGACCTCAGCTTAATGTCGTCATTGGCAATTACAATGACATCGATATCTGGGGCCATGCCCCAGTGGTACAGTTACTGCCATGTATATGTGAAGTCCTGGGTTTCATTTCCAGCACAGCAAATTAATTGATTAGTAATGAAAAAATTAACAATGGTTTTAGGCTAGAATGGATCTGATCTCAAGATTTGATAAGAAGGTCTGCTTTTCTGGTTATTTTTTAGAATAGACATTTGAAATGAGTTTTATAAACATTCTATTCCCACGTACTTTTATTAGAAACATATATTGATTTGAAGGAACTCTGCAATACACTGCTATCTAGAAACATAAACAAATATAAGTACATGTAGGTACTTCTTTAATTTGACAATTAAAACCTTTACATAGCTACATTAAGATGTAAGAAAAGAAAGTATGGGGGGTAAGGTGCTTGCCTTGCATGTGGTCAACCCAGGTTAGATTCCCAGTACTGCATAAGGTCCCTACCAAAATTAAAAAAGAGTCAATTTTTGTTTTTAATTCCCTCCTGTTACATTGTGTTATGTTGGGAGTGGGATTACAGTGATATAGAACAATGACAGGCAAGGAATTCACTCTACCCTTGGGAGAAGAGAAAATGGACTCAGAGCTTCATAGAAAACTTGATTTGCACCTTTCATTACACAGTTCCAATTTCCATGGACACAATAAAATATCTGAAGAGGGGAAATTTTTTAATTGATCGAACTTAAAAATCTGAAAAAAATATGACATTAACAATTTGCTCAGAAATCTTAATAGAGGGGCCAGAGCAATAGTAACAGCGGGTGTTTGCCTTGCACACAGCCAACTTTGATTCTATCTCTGCCACCTTATATGATCCCACAAACCCAAGGGGAGTGATCCCTGAGCTCAGAGTCAGAAGTAAGCCCTGAACACCATCAAGTGTGACCCAAAAAGAAACAAGTTAAATAATCCTTATAGAAATTCACTTGGAATATCGACCCACAACAACTCAAGAACTTAAGGGGTTTGGAGTGTTTATGTTATTTCAGGCCTCAGATTATGTAAAAGGTATTCAAAATGCATTTGCACTGAATGAATTTAAAGAATGTGGCTCCTTGATGCATCTTTGGTTTGGATTTGTGCTTTGAGTATGGATGCTTTTATTTGTTTTAGGAGAGTGTTTCTTTTGTTTTGTACTAAATCCTTCGTTTGGTTTAGGGGTTGGCGTTCTTGTTTGGGGAATGATGGTTTTCTTTTTGCCTTGTTTTGTTTGCATTGGGCTCCCAGAAAGTGCTCAGGGTACCTGTGGATCACTTTCAAGATACTTGGTCAACCAGGCTAGATAGTTCAGTTCCAAGGAACAGCAATGAGTTGCTGCTTGAGCCCAGCAAAGCTTTTCTTGGTTGAAAGGCTCAGGGACCTGAGGGCTCAAAAGAGAAGGGAATGTAGATGTTAGGATAAAGCTCTAGGTATTGTGAATGCAAGGCAGGTGCCCTGACCCCTGAACTGTCTCCCAGGCCCCAAATCCTTGTTAATAATAAATTGATTTAGTGGCCTTACAAATACAGGATTTTATGTCTTGAGTCCTCTTATCTCAAGATCTATTGAGCTTGCACAAAACAGTAATTACATTGGCTACCACCTTCAATGAGACCTCCTGTGTGCCAACTATTAGCTACATTACCTTGATCCATCCAAATTCCAAGTTCCAAAAGCTTAAAGACATGGGGAAATGGTTTCTACCACTAGGAAAGGTTAGACTTCATTCTTGGCAGTCTTTTTTATTAAGATTTTGAATTGCTTGCGGGGGTGGGGGTTGTATACTTAATACAAAAGGAGGCTAAGCTGTGTGTGACTGCCAGGGGGGCAACCCCTGAGGGCTGAATGTCTGAATAGGGTCAGAGGCGCAGCTGCCAATGGCCACCTGATCCTTCAGGGTCCTAGCTGGGGCAAACCAAAAAAGTAATGAAGTGTGACCCTGTTCTTGAAGCTCCATGAGCCTCTGGAACTCACTTCCACACCTCAGACTAATTTCTAGGAAGTCACAATTGCAAAGGAAGAATAACCAAGTGGTAAGTAGAACTTACCTGCTTACCTACTTTTCTTCTCTGATCTTCTGAGTTAAGGCAAGGCAGAAGAAATAAAATTCTTTCCAAGAAGATGACTTTTTCCAAGTTTTTTATCCTCCCCCCCTTCTTCTTAATAATCGACTGAAAACAGCAACTCAGACCCAACCTCATTGACTTCATAGTATTTATCTTTTTGATGTGGGGGCAGGGGAGAGGGTTAAAGATCTCCTCTTCACATGGTCTCTTCACAGTGTTTCTAGAATTATTGTTGATTGTCTGCCCCCCCACCCACCCCCCCCAGCATCTGCATACTGTTTGTCCCTGACCTTCCTTGTGGAGGCATTGGTCTGGGTTTGAGAGAGGGGGGGAAACATTCAATACCCTGGATTGTCTAGGGAAATGGCATTTTGTATGATTCCTCCTCACCTTCCCCTCTGAGCATTCGACTCTGTGAGGTCTGAGACTAAGTTAGAAAGAAATCCAGGCCTCCTAAGCCAGGTGATGTGATGCTACCACCAGTCCTTTGAGCTGACACTGACAGTGTCCCTATGAAGACAGCCGCTCATCTCTGTGTCCCAAGAGATCCGTGCTGACCCATGCCCAGAGCACATGCTGGAGAAGCTCCTCATTCTTCCATCCACCATGACATGGCTCAGACAGGTGACAAAGCTGAAGGTCCCCAACCAGGGTGCCCTGCACAATTTGATAGGACTGTCAGTAATGTAATTCAGAAATTATTTTTTATTAGTCCATTGTTGCATATTCAGAGCCCCTTTCTGGCATGTATCTATTGCCTCTCCTCCTTTTCCTATCAGCCTGCTCTGCAAGCAGTCCTTTGATCTCAGATGAATCATGGGACTGTTTTTTGATTCCCTGCTCAGTGTCTAAGTTTTCTAGGGAGAGGGACTCTGTCAGTCTGGTTTGCTGCTGTGCCTCAGAGCCTGGTACATTCCTAGAATGGTGGAGAAAAGAGATAGAGACAGGAGATGTAAGGAGAGATAGGGACAAACAGAGACACACAAGAAAGGGAGGATCAACAGAGGTGATCAGCAAGTAGATCGGCATCCAGGGCCACCATGGTGACTGCTGAGGGAAAGAGGGCTACTATGAGCTCAGTTTCATTAGTCTCCAGACATGAAATTTTCATTATGGGGGGAAGGGAGCTGTGTACACGCCATAGATTTATTTGGCTCTATCGGGGTCTTTATATAGTCAGGAAGGTGGAAGAATTGAAAGGCTGTGACTTTTTTAATCAATTAGTATTTCCCCAGCAAATACCATTCCCAAATTTGATAGGAACTGGAAAATGCTCAGCACCTGAACCTTAATCCATTCACGTGCAATAGTTTTAACCTACTTCTGTTTGCATTTCAGGTATAGAGAACGATGAAGAAATCAAACAGTTAGATGAAGAAATTAAGGAGCTGAATGAATCCAACTCCCAGATGGAAGCGGATATGATAAAACTTAGAACTCAGGTAACAGTTTTTGAAGCCCTCAATTCTAGCCTCATGGGGGCCGGGCCTCCAGAGAGGCACGCCACGATCCATCATCGCTTCTGTTCCCCTCTCTCAGCTCCTTGTTTTTCTGTGCTTTTTGCTGTGTGTCTGTATCATCACCCCCACTGTGCAGCACCATCACCCAGGGATCTCAGGTTTTTCTCCTGAGATCTTCCTACTCTTTAACCCCATGTTCCAAGTATTAGCTGCATCCCCAGATTCAGATGAGGAAGGCCTGTGCCAAAGGGCTTTTGCAATGTTCTGTCCATCTATGCAGGTTCTATTGCAGATGGTTCTGTCTACATAGACACCCTTCACAGCTCAGCACTAGCTGGGGTGGAGGGGGCACGGCCTTTCCTGAGCGTCTACTGAGTGCCACTCAGGGGCTGGTACCATCTTGCAGTTCCATTGGATGCTCAAGCATCCACAAGGTAAGCAGCTTCCACATCGGAGAATCAAAGAGAACCTGCACAGTCAGGCCACAGGGCTGGCCAATGGTTGAGGAACTCCACACACTCTCCTTCACACTGGACTTTTGGCATTGCCATCCTGGATGAAAAGAGACCCTTCATCCTCTTAGAAATAAGGCCTCTACCTCCCACCACTCCTGGGCCCTGGGCCTCCTCTTGCCCTGAAGATAGTTACTAGGGTTCTTGAGAGAAACCAAGAAAGGGACAGGGATTCACCCTCCATCTGAAGAGACTCTGCGCACATTCTGCTCCTTGACTGCCTGCTGGCCCTCACTTATGAAAGGCCCTGATCCTCACGCAGGTCCCCTGATGTAGCTATGAAGGATGCCATGCGTACCAGTGAGGATGAGGGTGAGCAGATGTGCCTTTTCCACAGGTCACTGCAGTTATCCAGCTTTTCTGATGCCAGCCACCGCATTGGTAGCCTAGGTTCTCAATTATGCTCAGATTGTCACCACCCCCCACACTTGGCTGACCAAAGGCTCTCCCTAGAACATTTGTCTGATGCATGGTTTCTCTTATCCACTGGGGTCACCAGAGTCTGAAAGTAGTCTCATGACCCAGATTGTCTCCCCATCATATTATCCTTTCACACATTCACCCCACTTCACCTGCTTAATGAAGTCAGAAATGACCCCTGCACCCCAAGTCTTAATATGCTCATGAGGAAGAAAAGTCTGGAAATCTTGCTTCATTCCCTCATTGGAACACATCGAGGCAATACTGAGGATATAGAATTCCCTTCTATGTTCAAGATGTTCTAGCCACAGCCCTTTGGGGTTCTCTATGTCCTGAACACCCTGATTCCACAGGACACCTCCCTTTCCAACAGGCCATCCCTCAGAGTTGCACATCCGCTCATCTAATAGGATACCCACCTGGAGGGATTTTTCATGTCAATAGGACCCTCTCCAGATAGCTAGACTCTTCTTCCCACTCATTCCCTGCTCTGGATGAAGGAAGGTAACATTCCCGTGTGTCTGCTCCTACTTGGATGAGCTTTGAGGGAGGCAAACACACGCTCCCTTGTACTGAACACCCCTTAGGACCCTGAAGCTGGTACCCCTCCCTCCTCTCTCTTCCCAGATTCCCTCTTCTCTCTTCGGTCATCACTGCTCATGTGGGGCTTTGTGATATCTGGAGAACTGTTTGCTCATGGCAGCATCAGTTGATTTCCAAAAAGAAAAAAGGCGTGATTCATTGGCTTCTAATTCACTCTTCTACCTCCCTGACTGGGGAGATGAGGTGACCTCCCCCATGCGCTGGGGATGGTGTGCCAACCAGAAACAAGTTTGTATGTGCGAAGTGATCTGAACAGTTGGGGCCAGGCCCCACCTACAGTCAGATAAGGCAGGGGGTACGCAAAGCCAGTTGCTGCTAGAACAGGTTTGCTTCCTCCCAGCCTCCCAGGTGCTGTTTTATGTGAGGTCCGAAGAAATGCAACTCAACCCACACCCACACAGGCCCTGTGGGTGACTTTGCCAGGCACAAACAACCACCTTAATTATGTCATAAAATGCTAGATGGTTGGCAGTCCTGCTTCTCAGCTTTTAGTGCTCCTCATAGCCTCAACCTCTTTTCAGCGGTAAGACAGGGAGACAGGGGAGACCCCCACCACTGTCTTTGCCCAGTTCTCTTTGCTCAGAAACAATGATGAGCCCAAGGAACCAGTAGAGGGACACAGGCTTGTCTGGGACTCAAACATCAAAACAGGGGGCAGGTGTCCACAAGGCTCCACCTGCCCTTGCCACTTGGACTGACTGAATTCCCTCAGAGAATCTCAGGGGCTCAGACCCCATGATTGACCCCTATTTGTATCTTATCTAGCCCAGGCCCCAGTGAATATTCAATATTTAAACATATTCTGGGCACCAGAAAGATAGAATGGTGGGTAGAGCATGTGCCTTGCAGGCAACCAGCCCCTCCTGTGCTCCCCTAGCACCATATGTGCTCCCCTGAGCACCACCAGTGAGCACTGTTGAGCACAAAGTTTGTAATAGCCCCTGAGCACCCTCCCCCGGGGCAGGTCCCAATTCTGTGGCTTCATGCACATTTGCAAATAGTCAGTCCAACCTACCCTATCAGTTTATAATAATGGAAACTGAGGTCTCAAGGTGCCAGATCTAGATCTTAGAAACCCAGGCAGTAGAATTCAGTGATATCTTCACTTAAAATAATCAGGACAGTAGAAGATTATCTGTATTTCTAATATCATGCATACTTCATATATGCATTTGTTTTTAACTTCAGCCATATATATGTGTGTGTATATATATGTATACATATATACATATATATATATATAATGCACAAACTTTAAATCTGCTGAAGAACCAATCTGTGAGAGAGCAACAAAATCCTCCAAGGAGTTATGAATGTTAATATCCACCTGTGACAGTTGTTCTTAGCAGAAGCTATGCCCCTGTCTTCTCTGAGCCAGGAGCATGACTACTTAAATGATTCACATGGGTTTGCTCTCAACCCACTTATAAGAATTCAGACTTAGGACAGAAACATTTTGTTTGATCGATTAGGGAGTGTGTCCAGTTAGAAAATGTTGGAACAATATTGGGGATCAGGTTAGGGAAGCAAGTCAACATCAATGGACCTGACAAATCCAGTATTCCAGTCTCTACAACTTCTTGAGAAAAGTCTGTCCTTTGTGCAAAGTCAGAACAGGTCAACTGTCCCCTGGCGTCTCTGCCCTGCAAGGTCAAAGCTCTTTCCCATCCCCAAATCCACGGGACTCTACCCACTGCAGAAGGCACCAAGAGAGCTCATGTTTCCATTCAGCTCTAAGACCATTATTTCTGCCATCCGCCCCCTCCCTCCAGCCACCAAAAGGAGGTTTCTCCTCCCACTTCAACTTAGTTCCCTCCTACAAGATCTGACAGCTTGTTACCGAAGACCTTAGCAAATGGTTTTGAAGCATCATTCTCCACCCTGTCCTTTGAGAATATAGAGCTCGCTTATTCTCAGATCCTACAAAGAGTGCCTCCCTACAGAACAGGTAGCAGAAGCGCAGGGATGAGACTGCCATAGGATCCCCACTCTGTGCCAGGCCACACACTGGAGCCAGAGGAGAAGCACAGAAGGCAGGAGCTTGGGAAGGCGGAATGTTTCAGCATGGGGAGGAGCAGAGGCAGGAGGAAGCAGTGGTTATTGATTCTGGTACCCTGATCATTTTCATCCGGCTGTTCAGGAAGTGCTGGGGGGTAATGCTTTCTTAGAATGCTAAAGTCAGACTTCTGTTCTCAATTGTGAACAAGATGAGACACTACCAAGAATCTTGCTGGTGGCCCTGCTGGACCCAAGCAAACATCCCCTTGATAGCGTTGTTTCTTCTTCATCCGAAGGTCAGTTAACCTTGTGTTCACCCTTCGAGACAGTGGTGCCACATGCTCATGGCTCTGTGGATTCTTGTGATGGGACGTGATGCAGGCTTCTGCTGTCCCCTGCATGTACTGCTTCCCCTCTTGGTGCTGCTCCTTCCCAGCCCATATGCAGGTGGCACAGAACCTGTGTCCCCTCACTTACACAAAGCCAGCAGAGATAGCCTTGCCTTCACCTCCCTCCCTGTCTCTGCATACGGGTCTTAAATACTTACACTTAGTTTGTTTTGTTGTTGTTTGGACTTTTTTTTTTTTTGCTTCTTTTGAAAGTGTTGTTTTGTTTGCCTCCTACCAGGCTATGCTTGGAGGCCTCCAGGTCTGCACCCAGCACCCAGCAATGCTCAGGAGACCATGTGGGGCCGGGAATCAAAACCAGGTCGGGTGCATGTTAGGCATGTGCCCTAACTGCTATCCTTTCTCCCAGACCCTGAATATGTTTTTTAAAAACACTTCACGCCATCCCGAATACTGAGTCTACTCTAAGGGCTCACAGATGCTTTCTGCCTTTCTTTGTGGGGCTCAGGCTGGAGCCCAGGGCTCCCCCAGGCAGACTCTGGGCTATAGCACATCCCCTGCCCCTGAGGTGTTTTCTCTGATGCACCACACAGCAGTGAGGTCAGGGACTCAGGTCACGCAAGCCTCTGGTCACATCTGCTCTGTGGTGAAATCTCATGATGCACTCAGCCGTGTGCCAACCTAGTATCACCCGGGCACAAAAACATGAATTTAAAAGAGCTGTTAAAGCTTTATAAATGTGTCTCTCACAATGATTCAATTAAAAACTCAATTTGAAAAAAAAAGCTGTTAAGCTTCACAAAAGTTTGCTCTTTCTCAGTTTCTTTTTCAGTCCTTCAAAGATGCAGAGTTCCTGGGTCAGCTGAACCAGGCCAGGGTTGGATTGGGCCTATCAGCCACCCCATTCCTTTCCTAATCTAGACTGCTTGTCCTAGAAATACTCAGGCCCAGAAGGAAGGGTAGTGTAGACGTGTCTGCAGCACACAGTGTGGCCACAATGTCTGTGTCCGCAGCTGTCTGGGGGCAGTTCCCAGGAAACTCCTCCTCGAGCTTAAGTGAAGAGTGATAGATCATCCCCTTCCAAAGAGACACAGAAGAGAGAAGAGTGAAGACAGGGAGGCTGGTCATGACAGAGCACCTGCCCTTTTTTTACTGAGGCAGGGGACTGAACAAGAGGCCAGAGCACAGGGCTCAAGAAGGCCCACAACCAGGCTGCTGATAGACTGACTGCCTCACCAGGCCCCAATTCCTTGCACGGGAAACCCTTCCTCCTAGAAACTCTTCCATCCCTGGATTCTGGAGAGCAAGGATTCCCTGGCTGCTCCCTGGGGCAGTTGGAAAGGAGGCCTCGGTCTGTTCCCAGTTCTCCCAGACACCTCTCAGCAGAGCAGGCTTAGCTCCTTCCCAGGAGAGAAGTCCAGAGGGAAGGGTCAGAGGTCTCTTCCCACACCCTCTCAGCGGCCTGCTGCAATGACCCCGTGAGATGGGTGACCTCTGTAAAACCTTCTGAGGGGGCTTCCTTAAGATTGGGCTTTTTGAGCCCCCTAGGACACCCTGTGGATAACAACTGTCTTCCTATAAAGGCCTCCACATCTCTCCCTGTAGGTGCATAGCGGGAAGAGATCTCTCTTCTAGCACAGGAAAGAACCTAGAGTCTTCCCAGGCCTGGAGAAGGATGCCAGTTAGTGCAGAGGAAGGATCTTTGATATAACTGCAGTGTGAGTCTGTTCTAGGAGATTCAGAGTTCAGGGTCCAAAGACAGCTGCCATTAAAGAAGGAAAGGTGGGAGGCATGGCCTACACCCAGTGGCTATATTTTTATAGTCCCTTGTTTGGCACTGCTAGCCCTGTGCTCTCTCAGGAGAGGATGATGTTCCCATAGATGTGACTTCAGGGGGCATTATTGTCCTTTGGGACCCTAAGATGTGAGACAAATATGGTTGTACTGCAACTGTTGCCACATTCGCACTGGAGGTCAGAGGCCACCCCACTTGTGAGAGACTGGCTATGTGGCTGTCTCAGATGAGAGGCTGCTATGAAAAAGCCCTCCATGATCTTCTCTCTGGAAGATTAGAGGAAGAATGGCAGGACAGAAAGCTATAAGTGGCCATCAAGTTGTAGGATGTTACACAGGCAAATACAATGCCCATAGGTGTTACCTGAGCAGATATAGATGGCCTTAGCTAGACAAGGGCAAAACACAGTGCTCACAGATGCTATCTAAGAGGACATAGAGGGAGAGAGCTTTAACTCCATCACAAACAAACAGAGTGCCCACAGGTGCTGTATGAGAGGACATAGAGGACTTTAACTTCATTATGGGCAAACAGAGTGCCATAAGTGCCCTCTGAGAATCACAGGAGTGAATCCATCCCATCTGCATACAGATAAACACAGTCCCACCTGGCCTCAATGAAGAAGATAGTGACAAGCCCCACCAAAATATTGATATGTTAGAGTCAGAGAGATAGTTCAAGGCATAAGACCTTTGCCTTGCATGTGATTAATTGACCCTGATTCAGTCTCTGGCAATGCATTTGGTTCCCCGAGCACTGCCAGGCATGACCCCAGAACACAGAACCAGGAGTAAGCCCCAAGCACTGCCAGCTGTGGCCCAAAAACCACTAAAGAAACAAAAATTAACATTTAAGATTTATCCTGGCAGAATGAGGTTTAGACTCAAAGAACAGAGAGTTTAGTGGAAGGTCTATAAAAATAATCGCCAGAACAATATATCCCAATCCCATTAAGCCAGCAGAGACAACAGTACATAGAACCAGTTGTTAACATTTTAATCTATGCACAGTGACAAGCAAAACTTTAAAAATATTTACAAAAGTTGACATAGCCTAGAAACTTACCTTACATAAACCCCTTCATTTCTCCTCTGGAAAAAAAAAAGTTGTAACAGTTCTACCAAATTTTCAGGTTAATGAACCAAACCCTTTAAGTGACAACTCCTTATTTAAGCAAACAAGTTATTTGCATCTAAAGACTATTCCTGACCTCAAGAATGCACGGTTTCCAACAGCTTGTATTACATGTCACACAAATTTGTGCATTTTAGATTACTACAATGGAGAGCAACCTGAAGACGATAGAAGAGGAGAACAAAGTAATTGAACAGCAAAATGAGTCTCTTCTTCATGAACTGGCCAACTTAAGCCAGTCTTTAATTCATAGTCTAGCTAACATCCAGCTGCCGCACATGGTAAGTGACTGAGTGTGCAAGATGAGGAGAGTGGTGACCTGCCACAGGGCACAGCTCACATAGATGCTTTGTTCATTGTTATTGTCAGGGTCCTTCCAACTTTGGATGTTGGTAGTTACCATCCCAAACCATAATCCCAAACCTTGGTGGGGCTGATCCAGTCTACCCCATAGGCTTAAGTATGCTCTGAATTTCATTAAATATCCTAGAGAGTGGCACTATGCAATGATACTATTTTATTGCTGATGTGAATATCCTATTAAGAAAATAAAAGTTATATATGAACTACTATTTAATATCTCGTAGGATCCAATCAATGAACAAAATTTTGATGCATACGTGACTACTTTGACGGACATGTATACAAATCAAGATCGTTATCAGAGCCCAGAAAATAAAGCCCTACTGGAAAATATAAAGCAGGCTGTGAGAGGAATTCAGGTCTGAACAGCTGCTAGTGATGGATCTTGCTTAAAAAAACAAAAAAACAAAAAAAACAAAAAAAAACAAAAAAAAAGAAAGAAAACAAAAAAAAAGGATGCCTCTTGTTTTTTGCTGCTGTAATTTACAGAAAGTGTTATATATTTATTTCTGTTTGAAACAGTGTTATGCTTACAAGACTTCATAATGATTTTATGTCTTGCTTTAAAGATAGCACCTGCAGGATAGTTTTTGAATACATTCACATTTTGTACGTTTTCATATAAGCTGACATAGTGTGATATGCCATGTAATGTTTATAGCTGCTAATGTATGCACATTTGGGGGTATATATATTTCTGAAGAGGTAAGCTGATCAAAATAAATAGAGTGTAAATTCTTTTTAATGCTTTAGTGATTAAATGTTTTAGTATTTTGAACTGAAATGGACAAAACAAAAAAAAAAACCTACAGCTTTGAATGATCATGTGGTGGTCCTAAAACCACTTTTTAGACATTATCATTCTGCCTCATGTTGGAGGATTTTATGGAATTTAAGAAATACATTTTGTGTGCATATTGTTTCATAGCAAGAATTGGTTGCAAAAAAATGCTTTATTTTTGAACAATGCTTGGAAATATTATGTGATTTTTTTGTTTGTTTGTTTTAGGAGGATGGTGTATGGTGGGGGCAATAAATGAGGTTTTTTGCATTCCAAGGAAATGGCATATGGATTATCTGTAAGAAATGAGATAAGTAATTTATTGTAAGACAACATCAAGCCATGGAAACTTGGCAGAAGATTCAAAGCAGCTTAAACAGCACTTTTAAATTAACTCCTGAGCATTACATGGTGTGACTATGGGAACTCCACTTAAGACAGGGGCTTATCAGAGGTGGACAACACGAAGATTTCCTTTCCATTCTCAATAAACTTTGGAACAACCTTCTCTTATCTCCCCGCGTTCTGTGCCCCTCTACACTGTCTGTTATTGCAATATGGTTTATCGAACAGAGTCTGTATGTTTTCATTGATGCGCAAAGATAATTTAAGAGTATTTATTTCCCCCTTTCTACTTTAAAAGATTTATTATTGTTGTTCTTGTCATTTGACATGGGTGGGGAGGGGAATGAAGGCAAATGATTGGCGAGTCTGTGGGGTGCTGGACTGGGTTTTCTGCTGGACTGCTTGGAAGGCTGCTCAGGCTGCTTTCTCCAGATGCCCCACACCTTTGGCTTTGCAAAGCTTTGGGTACTCTTCAGAGTACCCTCAAAACGAAGCTTGTGTTCCCCTTGGAGACCAGCTGAGCACCTGGCATCTGCACAGCCTTGTCGTTTGGTTTGCCCTGATCTATTCTAAGATGAATGCAATCAGATTTTAAGAGTAATTAAAAAATACTTCAGCACTTTTTTGCTTTACACGCGACCATCTTAGACTCCTTTCTACCTTGGGGATTTGATTGTTTGATCCGACGACTGCACTATCTGTCTGCATAAGACCACTTTTGATTGCTGCGTTCTTCCCTTCTGAGTAGTCCCTAGGACAACGTGTTGTGTTTTCTGATGTTGACTTGCTTTACATGTAATAGCATCTCTTCCTTCCATGTCTTGATGTTATGCAGGAAGTACAAAAGTACTTTAAAATTTTGTTATGAAAAAAAAAAGATGGGTTTTGTAAAAATAAAAAAAATATTTTTAGCAGAACAGGACTTACAGGGTCATTGTCCCCACAACGTGCCAGTCGACTATTTGCACTTACCTTGTCCTATATCCGTACGGAGGTGTGCAATTCCTGGTGTCAGCAGCCTCGCGATGCTGAGCCTGGAAGAATTAGAGGAGGCCCTCAAGGCTGACCCGATAATGTTGCTAAGGGAGATTACAGGGATCTCACAGCAAATATTCTGATACAATACTCAACCTCGGTATATATATATGTATAAATATATGTACATCCCAGCGGCACTTTATACTGCTCACTGTACAAACGCTTACAGTTTTCCACGAGGACTTTAATAACTAGCTGGGAAAAGATGATGTAATTACTCGGGGGCCCTGCAGCCTTTCTGCAGCGCGCCCTCTTTCTGTTGTGCTATTAGTTGTAGCTGCCATGCTCAGAATTGCCTTTTTGAGAGCTGAAGCAAGGTGCTTCTTGTCACCTGATGCCATATCTATCGTCCAGGGCTCTGGCCTCCTGGCAGGGCCCCTTGTTCATATCGGCATATGCATTTCCCCGCCGCGTTGTGTCTGCAGCTTCTTTGCCAATATAGTAATGCTTTTAGTAGAGTAATAGATAGTATCAGTTTTGGGTTCTTGTTATTACCTATGTACAATGGAAAGGGGTTTTAAGCACAAATCTGCTGCTCATCTAACGTTGGTACATAATATCAAATCAAAAGTTATCTGTGACTATTATATAGGGATCACAAAAGTGTCACGTATTAGAATGCTGACCTTTCATATGGAATTATTGTGAGTCATCAGAGTTTATTTATTATAACTTATTGTTCATATTCATTTCTAAGTTACTTTAAGTAATCATTTATTAAGACAGAATTTTGTATAAATATTTATTGTGCTCTCTGTGGAACTGAAGTTTGATTTATTTTTGTACTACACAGCATGGGTTTGTTGACACTTTAATTTTGCTATAAATGTGTGGAATCACAAGTTGCAGTGAGACTTCATTTTTAAATTGTGAACTTTGTACAAATTTTGTCATGCTGGATGTTAACACATCTTACTCTAAATAAAAAGGTGTTGCCACATTTGTAGCACGATGGATCTCTGCCCGGGTCTCGTCTTCACTTGAGTGTGCCGTGCTGTCTGGGCCCCTGGGGGACAGTGGGGAGTGTCCACCTCTTGGCCTTGCCTCTGGGGTAATGTTAAGGGCAGGGCCCCCTATGCTGAGGTTCGGGCTCCATGTGGCTCAATGGGTACACTGGCCTGGCCCTCTTCAAGGAGTCACCTGTGCCACTCCTTCTCCCTCAAGAACATGCTGAACATGGGACATGTTCCTACACAGTCACAAAATAGTTACCCACTGCCTATGTTCTACTCTCATCCATATTTATATGCACCCAGCTGAACCAATGTCATTGCTGCCAGACTCACCTTCTCTGCATCCCTCAGAAGGGCACAGAGCTGTGGGATCCGGTATCCAAAGCCCATTTCTCTGTCTTCCCAAGTGGCTGCCCCGTTTCCTGTGTCATCCTTGGCTGGGATTTTGTCAAGTATCCAAGCCACTGGGTTTGCACTTCAGAGCATCTTGAAGTTGCTTAGCAAATGGCCACCTCCTTCCTTGCCTGTTCATTTCAATCGGAGAGGCGTTTTATTACTTCCTGTCCAGGGCACCTGGAAGCCACTTACTCCAAAGGTCCTGGATGTGGTACTACACATTGTTACTTGCACATTAGCACCAAGAATCTTCCATAAAACACAAATGACTCTCAGAGGTGATCCAAATATGAATAGACTTTTCCACATCACTCACCTCAGGCCCCCATTAGAATACTGCTTACAATTGACAAAATTCCCCAACTATAGAATTTGAGGGGCCAGAGAGTACCAATATTAAGATGCTTGCCTTGCATGTCACTGGATTCAATCTCATGCTCCTCATGTGGTCTCCAGAGTATTACCAGGAATGATTCCTGAGTGCAGAGCCAGGAGTAAGCCCTGAACACTGCCAGATGTGGTTGAAGGAACAAAGAATTCAGAGACCCCCATAATCTTAGTTAAATGTATTCCCAGTGGAGGTCTCCATGATTTAATACTATCTAAGAATCCATTGCTTGCTCTGATAGTTTGTACCTAACGTCAGACTTATCAGAGCCCATGGGGCCGGGATGGAACCACCTTTGTCAGGATAACTATTGTATCTTCCACTGGCAGAGACAAGCTTCGCCTGGGGGCCTGTTTGTCAAGGGACAGAGTTAACACAGTTTGGCGTTCTGTTGTCAGTAACCTTAAAAGACTGGGAGGAGGGGCAGTGAAGAGATTAGAAGAGTGAGTAAGGCACTTGCCTTGCAGGGAACCCACCCCAGTTTGATCCTCAATACTGCATGGTTCTCCTAACACTGTGCAGAGTGAGCCCTGAGCACAGAGCCAGGCCTAAAACCTAAGCACCTCCAGTTGTGACACAAACCTCTGCCTCAAATAATTATTAAAAACGAAGTAAAAATTAAATAAAAACCATTTTGCTCTAGGAAAAATGCAGCTAGAATTAGCAGTAGCATGTTGGAAAGCAGTTTAGCTATGTCAGAAGTCTTATAAAATCCATTTTTTAACCCAGCAATTCCAACAGTCTAGCCTAATACCAAAATAATGGCAAATATAGCAACTCAAAACTCCTATTTTAAAGGAATTATGAACCAATTGACAATAAATGAACTTAATGAGCTACATGAAGATAGTTAAAGTAATAATTAAAGGACCAAAAAGGACCAGAGAGATAGAACAAAGGTTCAAGTACTTGCTTTGTATGTGACTGACCCCAATCCACACCCAGCCCTGCATGATTTCCTGCATAATTTGAGCAACCCCAAAGCACTGAGCCTGGCATAACAAAAAAAGTACTTAATAAAGGTATTAATTAATGGGGCTGGAGTGATAGCACAGTGGGTTAGGCATTTGCCTTGCACACGGCAGACCCAGGTTCAATTTCCAGCATTCCATATGGTCCCCCAAGCACTACCAGGAGTAATTCCTGAGTACAGAGCCAGGAGTAACCCCTGTGCATAGCCAGGTATGACCCCAAAAGCAAAAAAGAAAAAATAATTTAATTATAATTGATCATCACTATCATTTAATGGTGGTGATTATCAAAGACATTGATATAATGCTATGACAAGGTAAGTGAGACAGCATCATTGTAAATAGGTTAAGGAGCGCTTCAGCTGTAACTTTGAACTCCCTGATATGTGTGTCAGTTGCCCTGCAGGGTGGTTTGTGAAGGTAAGAGTAGAGGATGGGGGTCTCTCAGGGGGGACCCTCATGAGCTTGGAAACTCAGGCAACTGGGGCATAAAACCAGCCCCAAGGAAAATAAATTCATCACCAGAAAGGAGGAGAAGGCACTGGGAAGCCAGGTTAGAAAGCAAAGATCTGCAGGTTTGGGTTAAGCATGGGGAAGACTGGAGGCAGAGGCAGAGGCAGAGACAAAAGAGCTCAACCGGCTTGTCCCCAAGGCTCTTTGTCTAAAACTGCCTTATAAGTACCAGACAGAAGGCTGTGCTCACATTTGTCTCACCAGGGACAAAGAGATGATGTATTTATATTTTATATAAGCAATGTGCTGTAAATTTTAGGATATAGGGCTAGAACTATCACTGTCACTGTCACTGTCCTCCTGTTGTTCATTGATTTGCTCAAGCGAATCAATGCCCAGTAACGTCTCCATCATGACACTTGTTGTTACTGTGTTTGGCATATTGAATACGTCATGAGTAGCTTGCCAGGCTTTGCCGTGCGGGCGAGATACTCTCGGTAGCTTGCTGGGCTCTCCGAGAGGGGCGGAGAACTCAAGCCAGGTTCAGCCGGGCCAGCTGCTCGCAAGGCAAACACCCTACCACTGTGCTCTCACTCCAGCCCGGGCTAGGACTATATGAGGTGGTATATTATTCCAGAGAATCTTCCCTTTCTGGGGAAAAATAAAATGGTGCACCACAATCCTAGTCCCAAATTCCAAAAGCAAAGGATATAGTGCCATATGTGTGTCTGCAACCCAGTTCCACTGATAGTGGGTAGTCAGGACTGCCCACTCTCTATCTGACCTATAATCACCAGAATCCCCTGTAGCTCTGGCACCTAGAAGAATATCTAAATACCACTTCTTCTCCAGAAGAATTTTTCCAGTAGCGTCTGGAGAGCCTGAGCACAGCTGATATACAGATTACCTCTTCCCACCCACCCAATTCCCACCCTGTGAAGTTCATCTGAGACATTTCTGCACCAGCAGTGACTCCCTGCTCCATAGTCTCTTTCTCCTGAAAAGTCTGACAGCAAAGCTCAACGTCCTTGTCTGACTCCAGTTGAGATTGGCAAGACTGTATTGGCATGTAATCAGGGCAGCAATTAAAGAAAAATCAGAAGCTAAAAAGAAAGCTCAAGAATCTTTGAGGAACAAAATTAAACTCATGATACTTTGACATTGTATTCCAATCCCAAATGAGACTCAGAAAAGTTATTGGTTACTGAACAGATGGAGAAATGTGGAGAAACAAATCTATGATAATTATCAATTCCCATAATGATAAATGATAATTATTCATGATAAATGATCCATGATTCCTCGCTGTGCAATTATGAACAGAAAGTCCAACCATTAATGGACTTTTTCCCAGTATGTCTATTATATGGCCTATCAGGGCCTCACCTCTTTTATCGCCTATCTTCGAAAACTCTTGAGCTAATTCGCCAGCGTGGTTTGGCGCATGCAGCAGGCAACCACAAGCTAACGTCCGAGCTCGCAAAGCAGTGCAGAGATGCGATCAAGGAAGACCTCAAAGAGAGAAGAGCAGAAGTACTGGTAGATGTGGCAGAAGCTGGGAAAAGTATTCGTAACGCCCGCCTGACCTTCGACAAATACAAGACCAAGATGACTGCCCTCCAACATCCTGATGGATCCATCACATCCTCCAGAACGGCAATGGAGAAGATTATCCATGACTTCTACTCAAATCTCTTTGATAGCCATGTCCACTTGCCGACATACCAAATTCCACAGGATGGATATGTCGTTCCTAACGTTCTCCCTTCCGAAATCCGACATGCCATTTCGTCGGTAAAGAAACAAACAGCACCCGGCCCAGACAAGGTCAGACCTGAACACCTGAAGAACCTGCCGTCAGTACTCATCAATACACTGGCTCGGCTCTTCACTCGCTACCTGTCTGAATGCAAGGTTCCGTCCCAATGGAAAACCAGCAGGACCGTACTACTGTTCAAGAATCCATGACATTGGCAACTATCGCCCGATCTGCCTATTGTCTGTCATCTACAAGTTGTTCACTCGAGTCATCCTAAATAGGATTGGCAGAACACTAGATGAAGGACAACCATGCGAGCAAGCCGGGTTCCGCAAAGGATTCAGCACCATCGACCATATCCACACAATAACCAAGCTCATTGAGGTTTCTCGGGAGTTCAAGATGCCGCTCTGTTTAACGTTCATTGATTTAAAGAAGGCCTTCGATTCTGTGGAGACGGAAGCGGTCATTGAAGCCCTAGCCAATCAGGGCATTCAAGCCCAATACATCAGGATCCTCCGTGAGCTGTCTTGCGGATTCACTACCAGGATCTCACCGTTCTACAAAGAAGTGATCGTTGATGTCAAGAGAGGGGTGCGGCAGGGTGATACCATTTCACCGAAACTCTTCAGTGCCACCCTCGAGAACATCATACGACGACTGGAATGGGAAGGAATGGGAGTGAAGATAGATGGTCAGCAACTACACCACCTCCGCTTTGCTGATGACATTGTTTTAATAACACCAAACATCAGCCAAGTGGCACAAATGCTGGCCGACTTTGAACAGGAGTGTGGAAAGGTAGGACTACAGCTGAATCTTACAAAGACAATGTTCATGAGAAACAGCCTTGTTCCTGATGCCCCATTCGCTCTCAACGAAACGACCATCTCCGAATGCAACAGCTATGTGTACCTAGGTCGAGAAGTCAACATGACAAATGACCTGGCACCCGAGCTGCGCAGGAGGAAGAGAGCGGCTTGGAACGCCTTCAAGAACGTCAAAGAAATAGCTAAGAGG